ATGTTTGCACATTTGATATCTCTGTACAATAGACGAAGGATAACACACGTTATCATTCTGAGTTGATTAGGAGGAGTACAAAATCTTAATTAATTTATCATATTCAACTGCAACTCTCACTCAAGTATAGTCTAAAAATGATCCCTTCATAGATTGTCAAATAAGAAAGGCAGTTTACTAAAAGATGGAAGAATTTTCTTTGAAATAAATCAAAAGTGAACAGTTGCAGACATAAAGGATAAGCAATTTAAACCTAAATGCATGCGCAAAGTTGAAAATTAGCTGGAAGAGAGGAATAAGTGCAAGAACTGAACATGAGACTCCGCAATGGAAAACCATATCGGTTTAGAATACAACATTAAAACAATTATTTAATAGTAAAACCATCGCAAGGAAGAAAATTAACAAGTTGGACAAAAAATACAAAATTGATGAAAAGAATGAAAGCGTGAATTTTCAAATGCTGGTTCACTAACCTGTGCACCACATTTCTGTCATGCAAATATTTCAAACCATGTAGAATCTGCCTTGTATAAATAGAGACTTGTAGATCTCGCAGGTTATATTTCTGGTAAAGGCTCAAAAGGGAGCCTTTGGTAACAAGCTCAAGGAAGATGTAGAGATTTGATTCATCCTACAAAGAAGAAAAATATGAGTCCTGAGCTCGTCTTCCACCGATAGCAAGACGAAAAGGCAAAGCATTTAACATGGCCACTTAAGAATTCAACGTATCTATAATGAAATGTTTATTTTCGAAGTCTAGAAAATTTTTTACTGACAATGTAAATAAATTAAATTTAGCACTTAAAGCACCAACAGTGTAGCAGAAAAGGAAAAATTCTCACCACATGCCTCAAATGTCAAAGAACGGGTAAAATCAGAGGACATGCGGAGAATATCATAATAGCAATTTACTATGCTTGATACTTCACAATGTTTATAGACACAAAATAGCAAAACCTAATCAAAAGAATAAAGACCAGTACCTTCTTTGTGCCGTAATAC